GATAGTTTCGGGATCCAGACGAACCTAGAGTTGGTGTTTCTCATCCTTGGTCCCCTGTATCCATTAAACACACGATAAGCATAATGGATTTTTGCAAAAGTTTTGGCTTTGTATCGTCTTTGAAAATAGGCATCGGGTGGATTGCGATACTGCTTAGAATAGTTAGTCTGTTTGTATAGATGAATCTTTTTGAATTTTGCTTTCGATAAAGGTTCAAGATATACAAGTCAGTCTTCCTCGGAAGGTCCACTCCGTCTGTTGCCCATCGTCGGTCTTCTAAGTGACCTCTTAGGCTTAACATACCTGCTTCGTTCATTTTTCCGACCTTCATGTGAACAACCTTTGCGTTGGTTCACAGAACGAATTTGCCTCTGATTAACATTCGGGTTTACCCTCAAACGATTGTTTCTCGTAGGCTGACCTTTGTTGTAATATAGACTTGGTCTATTTACTTTTGATCCATTCCTTTTGACAATGCTGCCATGTCTAGGATTGCCTTTCGAGAGATTTCCATTTGTTGGCTCCACAACACATTAGACAGTCTTTCCTTTCGGATGGCTTGTTATTTGTGGTATATTCCCATTGTCAATCTGATTCATGGGCTCGGGCATCTGGGTTGGTCCTTGAACGAACATATTAAACCTCCACTAGAAGAAGGGTCTATGCATTTGTTCAAAAGGATTTGTGATGGGGAGCTTGGGTCATAGCCACTTCCGGCTTTTTCCCTTGGCGGTCTTGATGCATTCACCATTTTATCTATCATTTTAGATGAATTAGTAAATGATGCAATGACCTCGCGCAGATTTTGCTCCCGTAACTCTCTTTCTGTACACTACTCCTTAAGAAGAAGAACCTGCTTCTTGAGCTGATCATTGGCGATGGCTAGCTTAATGTTATTGATTCTAACGCGTCTTAGCTCATCATAGCTGATCAATAGTCGAGAGTTCTCTTCTTTTAATATGGAGTATGTGCTTTTAATTACCTCGAAATCCATCATCATCTCAAAAATTGTTTCATTTGGATTTCCTTCACTATCCGAGCTGATTTCTATTTGAGTAGAAGAAGAGGCTCGAGAGTTTACCTCATCATCGTTGGCCATTAAGCATAGATCACTTTCATCTTTCTCTCGACTAAAGAGACACAGAAGTCCCTTCTCATCTCCCGAACTTTCACTTTCTGAGCTTGAACTTGAAGCAATGGTTTCGAGTTGGGCCTCTTCAGTTGGTTCATTCGCAACCATTGCTTTCCTTCTCCTTTCGTATCGTGAATTACTTGAATCTTGTTTTCCACCCCTCTTGCTGGATTCAGCAGCATCTTTCGGTGAGCTTGTGCTAGGTTCCTGGTCCTGGTACTTGCGGACCATAGGGTGAGGACAGTTTGCTTTGTAGTGTCCTGGCTTCCGACAGTTGTAGCATAGCACTTGTGCATCCACCGTTTCTTGCTTTGAAGACTGAGGTGTTCTTTCGGTGTTCCTTCGGTAGGAAGACCTTGGAAAGGTTTGAAGTTCTTGAAAGTTGTTCTTCCTTATAAACCTTTTAAACTTACGCACAAACAAGGCAAACTGTTCGTCAGATAAAAAATCAGAAGGGTTAGAGTTTGACCTGCTTGAGATTGAAGGTTGTTGATTTGCAACTAAAGCAATATTTCTGGTTTTTTATTCCTCAGTTTCTTTGGGTTCATGCTCGAACTCATTGGCCTTGAGGTCACTGAAGATTTTAGTCATCTGAGTGGTCTTCAAGTCTCGGTGATCTCTCATAGATGTCACCTTCATATCCCAAGACTTTGGAAGTCCTCGAAGTATCTTCAGATTTTTCTCTTTCTGAGTTAGCTCCTTTCCTAAGTCTGAGATATCTCCAATAAGTTTCGTGAGTCGAAGCTCCATTTCAATGATTGTTTCGTTTGGAAGCATCTTGAAGTCTTCGAATTTCTTCATGGCCATTATGAGCTTTTTGTCCTTCTCCTGCTCATTTCCCTCTCCTATACTCATGAGAGTGTCCCAAATTTCCTTCGCGGTTTTGCATTTGCGCACTCTTGGAAACATTGTCGAGGTTTTCTCTCGTCCTCTCTTCTGGTACGAGTTGAGACTTAGGTTTTGGGATCACTACTTCAGGATCTGCTCCTTGAGCGCTTGCTTGTGTGTTCACAGCAATTATCACAATGGGTCCGTCCTCTATAACATCCCACATTTCATCGTGGATAGCCGAGAGGTATGCCTGCATCCTGACTTTCCAGTCATCAAACTTCGAGAGATTAAAGGCAAGAGGCCTAGAAAAATTAGCATGATCCTTTTCCATTTTTCTTTCAAAAAAGGTTGTGCAAAGTGGAAAAATGATGATTTTCTATAGCGATTTAAACAAAAAGGGATCTACCAGGCAGTAAAGGCAAACCGTTTACCGTTCAAGGTAACCGCTCTGATACCACTTGTTGGTCCCGGTAGGGTCGAAAGTGAGTCTAGAGGGGGGGGGGGGGGGTGAATAGACTCTAATCAATTTTTCAGATTAACTCCTTTTGGGGTTATGCACATCGGAAATTGTATCAACGTTTTAAGATGAACTTTACACGATTTCGTTATGAAAGTTTAAGGTATGATCAATATGCATGCAATGCCAGATAGATAGTTATACAAAAGTAAAGAGAGATTTTTATAGTAGGTCGGCTATCAACAAAGCCTACTCCACTCCTCTTTCACAACTTGTGAAAGAGTTTGCACTATCACTCCTACTACAAACTACTCAAGCTAGCTTCCTTGATCACTAAGCCGGACAGCTACTTGAAATATTTTTCAACTCCTAGAGTTTACTCCGCCTCTATCAACTTCTTCTTGTGAGTTGAGTGTTGGATGGAATTGATGTGTTTCTCCAAAAAGCTTGAAGTCTTGACTTGATATCGGATGAATCTTCTTATAAAGATGTAAGACTTCTTTGAGGATTGTGAAGACTAAATCTGGATGGGCTTCTTTGAAAACTTCACAATCACACACACTGGTTTTTGAAAAGCTTTAGGATGAACAAGTTTGAAGAGCTTTTCTTAGATAAAATCAGTTGAACAACCAGCACCTTCTTCCATGGTGAAGAGAGGTATTTATAGGTGAGGAGAAATTCATCCGTTGGAGGGAGATGAAATTTCAAACCTATTAACCAGCGTGTATAAACCACTGGGCATTGAGCATTTATTGCGGTTGTACTGTGTAGCCGTTGGTGTCAAAAAGCAACATGACTTTTTGTCCTTTTTCACTGACATGAAGTACCAATCATTTAATGCTCCTTGGTTTTTGTATACATCATTCCTAGGATTCCTTTTGTCTAGGATGATTGCCCAGCTGCGAGACACAGACAACATTCTTCTTGTTTTCACTTGATAAGAGTTGTCTTTATAAGTCTGACTTAGACTTAATAGTCTCGGAATTGTCAAGCGAAAGCTTCTCTTTAGCTTTCGTTATCTCTATTGATCAAATGATTTTCCTTATCATTTGATATTTAAAACGAGAGCTAGACCCTTCTATCTTTCGGTCTATGTTGTTATCTCGATCTTCTCTTCTTCTTTATTTCTTCTCGTAGACCTATTTTACTAAATACAACTCAGATTCGTGTAGATGGTTTGCACATTACGAATCACATGGTGAGTTGCTACTTCTTTCGTTTAACACGAAAGATCCAAGATAAAGAAAATAAAAAGAGGAGTCTACGATCTTAGCAAGATTGGTCTCATCAAAATCTAAGTACACTTGTCCCTAACAATATATATAGGGTCGCGTTCATGTGCGAATAGGTGCCCACGAGAAAAATGCGAACCAATCAGCGCGCGCACGTGTCAGTATTCATTGATCAGGTGCACGTACTTTCACCTACAAGTGCACCTACTTTCTCCTGCAAGTACATGTAGTTTTTGCCTGTATTCATTGATCGGGTGCACCTACTTTCACCTACAAGTGCACCTACTTTCGCATGCAAGTGCATGTAATTTTGCCTTTTTAACATTCATTGAATTGAGTTCGTTCTATTTGGCATCATTTTTGTTCTTGCGGGGAGTTTAGCGGGTAGTAGTACTCATGAAAACCACTCGCAAACATTCATGCACCTAGGTGCAACTACTTATAACTATAGGTCCAACTACTTATAACTATAGAGAAAATTACACTTTTGGTCCTATGACTATAGGGGGCGTGTTAATTTTAGTACGTGAGTTTTAAAACTAACAATTTAGTCCTTTAACTATGCTTTTTTTAACGGATTTGGTCCTCTCGGCCAAATCACCCGCCAAATGTTGCCGAAAAAACATAAAGCATTTTTAATTATTTATTCATGGGGGCAAAACGGTCACTTCACGTATTTTTTAAGGGATAATCATTTGATCAATTCATTGATTCGGGTGTCGCTTCGTCCACCATCTTTAGCCGGATTAATTTTTGTTTTTTGCCGGCATAACTCCGGACGTGGAGGACCAAGAAGGCAAGCCGATTATGGACAAGAAATCCTACAACGTCTCCACCGTTTAAGACATGGGAGCCAGACACGTAAGGCCGGAAAAGGTCGTCCACCCAGGACTAGTTTACGATATTACCCCCAACGATTACCTCAACTTTCTCTACTCCTCCAATTATACTGCCCAAGATTTGCGACATATTGCTCAAAAGGCGGTTAGATGTCACGAAGAACACCAGAAACCGCCCTAGGATCTCAACTATCCGGCGGTTCAGTAGTGATCGATGCTTCATCGCCGACATTGACGGTGGTTAGGGCTACGAGGATGATGAGCTATGTCGGTGAAGGCGCATCAACGTACAACGTGGCGGTGACGAACCCAAATGGTGCAATGGCGAAGATAACTCCGACCTAACTTGATTTCACGGTAAAGGGTCAGAAACAGGAGTTCGTTGTTGAGATTAGGGCGGAGGTATTGGCGGTGACGCCAGGGAAGTCTATCACTAAGTTGGGAAAGCTCATATGGTTTGACGGGAAACGCCATGTGGTTTCGCCTCTGCTTGTAGTCTGGAAAAAAACCTACTGATATATGGGATTTGATCTGAAATTATCCATTACTTCTAAATGAATATCAAGTATTACTAGTTTTATGGATAGCTATAGATACATTATATATATTAATATATGGCCTGCATATTTGCCGTGTTCATTTTTCTTCATTTTTTACGATTCATAATCGTCAATCGCAACTGATCGAGAATCAATCACTATTTTATTGTTAATCTGCTTCTTCATTCCCGTCATCGGAGGGAACGATGTGTTCTGGCAACAGTTCTTGACAGAGGAAGTTGAGTCTGAGAGAAGAGAGATTGGGATCAGAAATGGTAGAAAATGTATGATTATTTTTGTGGAACAGATGGGGTATTTCACTCCGGCAACTGGAAACTAATCAAAAGATGAATACTCTTTTGATGGTTTTGACTTCTGAGAGTAGAAATATAATGGACGCCTACAGATCGAGAGCGGCGGAGAGGGCAAGGAAAGGGAAGGCGAGGCGGAAGAATCAACTCTGCAAATGCGACAAACTCCAGCCAGCAGGTGAATGAAGAAGAAGAGACTTGGAATGACCAATTTAGCCCCATGAATAAATAATTTAAAATGCTTTACGTTTTTCCGGCAACATTTGGCCGGGAGAACCAAATCTACTAAAAAAAACATAGTTAAAGGACTAAATTATTAGTTTTAAAAGTCACGTACCAAAATTAACACGCCCCCAATAGTCATAGGACCAAAAGTGTAATTTTCGCTATAACTATAGGTGCACTTAGTATCGATGCTCAGTGTAAATTTTACTTGCACCTATAATACATTTTACATGCACTTGTAATATATTTTACTTACAATTCGATGTTCAATTATTTACAAAAATGTCACCGTGTTTTTTTTTAAATCAGTGTTTCTCATCCATTAGATTTGAACACGTGGACGGATATCAGGCATTCGCATATTCGCACGTGGGCGCTACATTCACACCAGAGTGCAATTATATATATATATATATATATATATATATATATATATATATATATATATATATATATATATATATATATATATATATATATATATATATATATTGTTGGTTGTCAAGAAAGAGGAGATATACAATTAAAACTCTCCAAACTCCACTAATAGAGTACGTACTTTAATATAGTATGGTGTTTTTTCAAAAAAAAAAAAATAATAATAATAATAATATAGTAAGGTGGTATGCTTTCTTAAACAATGTAATATAATTGAGCTATATAAATATGCACGAAACCTGTGTTGGACTGTATGTATCTAGGGAATTGAATGGTTTGTGAATATTGAGATTGATAAATGGCGGCAGGCGACATTAAATATGTTTTTCGTTGCACAGAAAGAATCCGACCATCTTCTCCGACACCTCAAAATCTCCGAAGCCACAAGCTGTCTCTCCTTGACCAGCTAATCAATTGCCTTTATGCCCCCCTCCTCTCCTTCTACAACTCCTCCTCCGGCGATCATGATCAGCTCAAGAAATCATTATCCAGGGCGTTATCCTACATGTACCCTTTGGCCGGGAGGTTAAAAGACGGGAAGACAATCGATTGCAACGACGAGGGTGCGGACTTCGTATTAGCCGAAGTGGAAAACAAAATGTCGGAGGTGATGCAGTATCCTAGGATGGATCGTCTTAGGAAGTTGTTCCCATGTAATCCATACCCCGAAGTTGTGGATTCAACCATTCCCCTTTGTGCTGTCCAAGTTACGCGATTCTCCTGCGGTGGCTCGGCGGTGGCGATTTGCATTTGGCACGGCCTGGTCGACGCCCCCGGAGTCTATGGCTTCCTCCGAACTTGGGCTGCTATTAACCGGGGACAGGAACAAGTAAGGGTTGTTAACGAACCAAAAATGAACCAACAGAGATTGTTCGTATTTGTTTGTTAAGATTTTTGGAGTGTTTGTGTTCGTGTTCGTATTAGTGTTTATTTGTTAAGGTTTTTAAAAATTCCCTTTGTTTGTTAATTTTTCATTAATGTCTTGTTAACGTTGGGAACAAATTTAGGAACATGTTCATTAATGTTTGCAAACACTTGTGAACATTTAATAAACAAATACTGGCTCATATTCTTGATCACAATTCGTGAATAAAAAATAATGGAATAAGGGTCAAATAGGCCACTGAACTGCACACCAAACTATAATTAGACCATCAAACTCAAAAAAATGCAATTAGGTCCTTGAACTACACAAATTTATGCAATTAGGTCTAAAATGACCTGTTTACCTGCTATGTAGGTTGAGATTTTTAAAAATAATTTTTAAAATAATTTTAAACAAAAAATTAATTAAAAATTAAAAAAAAAAAAAAAAAAAAAAAAAACGGCCGGAGACGATTTCGTCTCCGGCCGTTCCGTTTTTTTTTTTTTTTTTTTTTTTTTATTTTTAATTAATTTTTTGTTTAAAATTATTTTAAAAATAATTTTAAAAATCTGCAACCTCCACGTCAGCAAAGTATTAGGTAAACAGGTTATTTTAGACTTAATTGCATGAATTTGTGTAGTTCAGGGACCTAATTGTACTTTTTTTGAGTTCGATGGCCTAATTACAACTTGGTGTACAGTTCAGTGGCCTATTTGACCCTTATTCCAAAAATAATTTATGTTCACAAACAACACAACTATATATATATATATATATATATATATATATATATATATATATATATATATATATATATATATATGTGTGTGTGTGTGTGTGTGTGTGTGTGTGTGTGTGTGTGTGTGTGTGTGTGTGTGTGTGTGTGTGTGCGTGTGTGTGTGTGTGTTTAACTACTTGTTCATGAACATGTTCGTAAATATATATATATATATATATATATATATATATATATATGTGTGTGTGTGTGTGTGTGTGTGTGTGTGTGTGTGTGTGTATGTTTAACTACTTGTTCATGAACATGTTCGTAAACATTATTATATAAACACAAATGAGTTTGCTCACGAACTCTTCAGGTTTAATTCTCTATCCCTAGTTCTCATTTGAATTGAGCTCTAAAATTTGTTCATTTATGTTTGTTTATCTTAATAAATGAACATAAAGGAATCACAAACACACAAGTAGTTTGTCAAAAATTTGTTTGCTAACAGCCTTAGGAACAGGATTACAAGAATGCCGGCGGTTTGGTTGTGGACAGCAGCACAACGTTTGTACCAAGTGATTTATTGTTATCTCTCACCGCGCTCACGGATAGGAATCACATTATGGTTGCAGAAAAATATGTAGCCAAAAGGTTTATGTTTCGAGGATCAACGGTTAACGCGATCAGAGATAGATACACTCAGCCGGAGATTCGTCCGTCGCGGGTGGAGGCGCTGGCGGCATTTCTATGGGCGGCCGTTATAAGAGCCACAGGGGAGGTGGACCAAGATTTCAAGACTCACACGTTGACCATGTCCGTGGATTTAAGAAAAAAGTTTAACCCACCATTTCCTATGTACTGTCTGGGGAGCATCAATCAAGTGGTGGGGGCGCGGTGGGAGCGCGGCGGCGACGGAAAAGAATCATCATCACCGTCGGCGGTTGACGGCGGATTCCTACTGGGAAAAGTCCGAGAAGCCATTAGGAAGATTGACGATAACTACATCAAGAAAATGCACGTTGAGGGAGGTTATCTCAACCAACTTATAGCTATATCCAATAATTTGACAGTGGATAAAAAACATAACAAGGGTTTAAACATCAGCAGTTGGTGCAAAATACCAATTTACGAGGTTGATTTTGGGTGGGGGAATCCGAGGTGGATATCCACTGTTCTTGTTCTAAAGGATTTGGCCATTTTTGTGGACATGGATGATGGAGGGGTGGAAGTGTGGTTAGGGCTACCTCAAGGTATCATGAGCAATTTAGAGATGGACAAACAATTTCTAGCTCATTTATCTTATAGCCAAACTGTGTGGGATTATACTCTACACAGTGTCATGAAAAGTAGGATGTAATTTGATTATGATCGAATTACATAAATAAATGATAAATAAATTTGGATTTTAAATTTAGCGTATGTAACTAAATTGGTACGTGGTGTTGAATTCCCTTCTGTTGATGGTTCGCCGGTTCGTCTTTTAATAATAAACAAAAGATTATTGATAAATGGAACATGGAGTACAGTCTCAAACACATTACAAAAGATATATCGATGTAGTCGAGCTATACTAGTCGGTGATGTGTGTCATTTAATTTCTTATTACTTTTATGTGCATATTCGACATTAAATTCATGATTTTTTGTTAATTGGAAGCTAAATACATAATAATCCGCATGTAATTGAGGGAATAGTAATGATTTTAAGCAAGACAAATACAATGAATGTTTTCATCAAAGACTTGAAAATGACCCGTTTTATAATTCTTATCATCCTAATTGAGAAACTCATCTTAAACTTTTTTAGGGTAATAATAATAGTCAAAATATTTATTGACCAATTGTTCCTCCCCAACCTAAAAAATCATCATTAGAGGCTATCTTACATAATTTCATGCAGGTTTGCACTAGTCCACCCCAACCTAAAAAAGAATCTTTGGAGGATACCATGCAAAATTTTATACAGGTTTGTACTAGTTAACAAGAAGCAAGTGATCAGTGCCTTCAACAAATAGAGGCATCACTTGCAAGATATGCGACATCACTTGAGCTTTACCCTTGTGGATCTTTTAAATAGCTTGTAATAAATATAATGCAAGTTTTTGTGATCTCTTAGTGTGTATATTGCATGTGACTAATTGTTATTGTTATTCTCAATTTATTTTATTTCTTTGAATAACTTTGTTTAAAATCACAATACCCTTATATGTTATATACAATTTCTTTGATAGTTTTCATGTTGGTTTCACTTTATATACGTTTTTCAAGTTTAATTTGTAAACAAACTTGAGTGCTATAAATTGTGGTGTAAGTGTGTTGGCTTCGTGATCACTTTTTTTTTTTTTTTTTTTTTTTTTTTTTGAGACAAGTGAAGTGAAAAAAAAAAATGATTAAAAAATGAGAGTTTTTGTTTATTTATTTTATTTGCAATAAATTCATAGATTCTATTCCGTTTAATTAGTCACCTACACATGTACCATAAATAAATAAATAAGTGTTGTGGTATGGTTTATGAGTATATACACATAATTGAAAACCTAAACATGCATGACATAAAAATGTGATGTTTTTTGGGAAAGTTCAATTCTCTTTGGAAAAAGTCATAAATAGAAAAAAAAATGAGTGAACTTTGGAAGAGATGAGCATTTATTGCATTTTTTTTTTTTACAATGAGCATTTGCATTTTAATTTTTAATAAATGCATTGATCCTTGTTTCTTTCAAGTTTTGCACCTGCCCTATAATAGAATGTTTCCGAATTTGACTTATGTTGTATTTTGTGAAATTTTCATATTTATTTTATTGAATTTTTGTGTAATTCATATAAGGGATATCAACACACGAGCAGGAGTTCTTTATTTATTTTGTGTTGAAGTTATTTACTTTATAATCAAGTTTTTTATGCATTCTTTAAGTTGACATTGATGAGGCAATAATTTTAAAGGCTATTTGGGTAAAATTCAATTTAATACTTGGTTTTATTTTTGATTTCTTTTGTTTCTTTTTAATAATACCTTTGACAAGCAAATAAATAAATGCGGAGAATTTTGATGATTGAAATTTTTACTTAGTTTTATAATGTTTGATTTAATAGTTCTAATTATTTAGTAATGTTTTTCTACTTAATCTTATTAAATTATTACACTTTTATCTAATATTTATAAATAGTAGTAATAATAGTTAATACTTTATAATAATAAAAATAAAATAAAAATAGTGTATTCGGTACATTAATAAATTAATTCTAGAGTAAATACCCAAAATGGTCCCTTGACTATAGCTAAATTCACAAATTGGTCCTTGACTTTTAATTTTAACCAATTAAGTCCTTAACTTTGCAATTTTAACACGATTTGGTCCTCCGTCTATTTGACCGTTTGTTGACTGTGATATTTGAGGATATATATACCATCACAATTAAGCTATGTTTGACATCACTCACATTTTCAACCTTGCACTAACCAAATTATGCAAGCATATATATAAAGTTGTTTATAGTTAATTGTTATGAAAGACTTTTGGAAAAAGAAAAAGACAATTTAAAAAAAAATGCAATGGCTAATCGCAAATGTCTGATGCAAGAGTATAAGATTGAGTGGGGAGGTAATTAAGAGGACCCTGTAAATTTGACTTACTTTCAAGCCATTTGTCCACTTTTGCAAGCCTATTGCCAACACCTTTCAATTAGCCTCTTTCTTCTCTCTGTCTCTCTCTCTCTCTCTCTCTCTCTCACTCACTATGTTGTCTGTTACAATTTCCATGCTCACAAAATCTCATTCCATTTCTAAGCCATCTTTTCCCTCAAAACATTCCACATTTTCATTTGTAGGAGCAGCCCCTGCAAAGGGCGCGCACTTGCCTCAAGTGCGCGCACTGCCACCGCCGCTACCGCTCCGCCACCCCCACCGCCGTCCATGGCGCTCTCTCCTTCCTCTCCTTCCATCGCCGCCGTCGTCCTTGCCTTTGTCTTCCTCCGCCTCGCCGCCCCCTCCTCCAGCAAGACCGAGGCCGATACCCTCCTCAAGTTCAAGGAGTCGTTGAAGAATGCCACCGCCTTGGCCAGCTGGAACACCGCCAAGGCCCGCGCCCCCTGCGCCGCCGGCCGCACTACCTGGCCGGGCGTCTTGTGCGACGGCGACAAAGTCCTCGGGCTCAGCTTGAACGGCATGGGACTTAGCGGGAGCATCGACGTTGATTCCCTCCTGGAGCTCCCGTCTTTCTTGGTTTTCGGCGCCATGGATAACAATTTCCATGGCCCTTTGCCGGCGTTTAAGAAACTCAGCGCCCTGAAATTCCTGTACCTATCCCGTAACAAATTCTCCGGCGTTATCCCGGACGACGCTTTCGTCGGAATGGAATCGTTGAAGAAAGTTCACTTGGCATTTAACGAATTCTCCGGCGCCATTCCTACTTCCCTGGCAAGCTCCAGGACCCTCATCGAGTTGATGCTTGAAGACAATATGTTCTATGGTAAATTACCAGATTTCTCGCAAGAACGATTGAGCGTGGCAAATTTCTCTGACAATAATCTTGAAGGTGAAATCCCTCCAATTCTTTCTACTCTCGGCGCCTCCTCATTCGCAGGTATATATGATGCCCTTATTCATACCGGAATATATATATAATCATACATACATAAATTCTATAGAGTTACTGCCAGATTTGGTCCCCGACTATTAGAATTTTAAGTTAGTGACTTTTAAACTTGCTCAATTTTATTTGTAATTATACAATTGTTAACTAAAATGGTCCTAATTAGGGCTATTTTGATTTAGGCTAAGGATTATTTTAAGTAAAAGTTATATAATTGGGTATGAAATTGAGCAAATTTAGGAGTTAGAATCAAAGTGATGAAATCTTAATAGTCGAGCAACCAAATCGGGTATTAACTCAATTGTATATATATGTATGAATTATGATCTGACCTCCAACTATAGTTATAATATAACCTATATGCATTAGGGTTCAGCGTTTTTGGAAGAATATAACCTATATGCATGTCAAGTTGGTCAAACTATTGATTTGAAAGTTAATACCCAATTTAATCCTCGGCTAGTGATTTTTTCTCGATTTAGTTCTAAACGACTTTTTGTGCTTAATTAGTTTTTCGACTTGGATGATTTTACTCAATTGAGTCATCTGTTAAGATAACTTGGTAATTTCGCCCCTATTAAAACTCAATTCAGTCCTGGATTATAGTAGTTTTATCTAAATTAGTCTTCGACTATAATAGTTTTATCCAATTTCGTCCTCAATTATAGTGATATTTCTTATTTTAATTCTTAATTCTACTCAATTGGGTAAAACCATCAAAGTGTAGGACCTAATTAAGTATAAAAAGTCCATTAAAGACAAAATCAAGAAAAACCATTATAATCGAGCTGAGGACTAAATTGGGTATTAAATTTGATAACTACAAGATTACAAGTTTAATTTGAACTCGAATAATCTAAGCTAGTTTACCTTTTTGTGGTCCCCATTGTGGGTTACCTTCTTACCCAACAATGCACCATAATTAGCATGTTTTGAATATGAAAAATGTCATTACAATCAAAATTTATGTCATTTCTTTCTTTAATTCCTTTGAAATATATTTTAGGGAATTCGGGTCTTTGCGGGAAGCCATTGGCGGCATGCCATGCTGGGCAGGATGATACCGTTGATTCCAACAATTCCAACTCAATGATCGTCAGCCTCATAGCGGCGGTGTTAGTTTTGGCGGTCGCCATTGCCATCATCTTCATCGTATGCAAGAAAAAACCCAAAGATGATGCACCGGACGGGTCAACTCGAGCGCAAGTGGGCACCCAAACCGCCGCCGCCTCAGCAGTCGCCGCCACAACCCAGCAGATGGACAGAATGGAGCGAGGATCGCAGGCTGCGCGTCCACCGGAGCGTGCTACGGCGGCCGGCGGCAAGAAACCGGCGGAGCAGCATCAGCATCAGGCCGCCGCCGTTAAGCTTTCGTTCTTGAGAGAGAACGTGGCGAAGTTCGACTTGCCGGACCTGCTTAAGGCCTCGGCGGAGATTCTGGGCAACGGCGTGTTCGGAGCGACTTATAAAGCCGCCCTTAACTCCGCCCAGGTGGTGGTTGTCAAGCGGTTCAAACACATGAACAAGGTCGGAAAAGAAGATTTTGTGGAGCATATGAGAAGGCTTGGAAGGTTGGATCACAAGAATTTGCTTCCTATTCTGGCTTTCTACTATAGGAAAGAGGAAAAGCTCCTTGTCTTTAACCATGTCCAGAAATCCAGCTTGGCTTCTCATCTCCATGGTATGTTCACTCATCCCTTTTCAAACCTGCAATTACTGCTTAAAAATGTGCACTGAATAAAATATATGGCCCTGCTTGGTAAATGGTTGTTAGTTGTTTGTTGATTGGGTTAATTAGAAGGTATAACTAGTTGATAATATTAGCTAATTATAGAAAGGTGTTTGACAAATTAGCTGTTCGGTATAATTTCTTTTCTCAAAAGCTAATTGAAAACGTTCTTTGAGTAACTTTTTGAATTTTAGCATTTTGGAGTACAAAAAGCTAATTAACCAAACACTTATATTGATTTTTAAACCAAATCAAATAACTAATAATGATTAAATAAGTCAAAATTGACCTATAGGCTAATAACTATTTTAATTTACCAAACAGGGCCTATGTGTTTTTCATTTATGTCACTCACTTTTGGAAAATAAAAGCAACAAAGTAGGTAAAACTCATAAGGGTAAATTGAGAAAAGTAAAATGGTGGTGATGTTCAATTTTGAAAAGAAAACAATGTTTTGAAACAAACAACTAAAAACAAAAGTAAGACTAGTAAAATATGATGAAGGGAGTAGTACTTTTTACACTAGTATAGTGATGTATGCTATATATCGAGATGAATTGATTAGTGTGAATTCGTTTTTCTTGCACTATCTGATACAAATTAACACAAAAGCATATATATGTGATTATACTAATTTTGTGTGAAACTCAATTGTGCGGGCCAATAATCATCTGGACTTTTTGTAAACATATATATATATATATATATGTTTATGTTTATGATTATTATTATTTCCTGGATGGATATGATCGGATCAGGTAAGAAACATAGATCTCGTACCGGGAAGGATCTAGACTGGGCAATACGGTTGAAAATTGTGAAGGGAGTAGCGAGGAGCATGTTATATCTTTACAATGAGCTTCCCAGCGTGAACGTACCAAACGGCCACCTTAAATCCTCCAACGTTCTCCTGGATTCCTCGTACGAGCCGTTAATCAGCGACTACGGGTTGCTGCCAATCGTGAACCAAGAGCACGCGGAGGAGCACATGACCGCGTACAAGTCGCCGGATTTCAAGCAGGGCGGTCGGGTGAGCAAGAAGACGGACGTGTGGGCGCTGGGGGTGATGATTCTGGAGATCTTGACCGGAAAACACCCGCCGGACGTGGACACGGCGGCGTGGGTGCAGTCCATCGAGCCCACGCCGGAGGCTTTGGACCCGGAGATGAGAGGGGTGACTAAGAACGCGGAGGGGGAAGTGGTGAAGCTGTTGAGCATTGGGCTGAGCTGCTGCGAGGTGAATGTGGAGAAGAGGTCGGAGATGAAGGAGACGGTGGAGAGGATTGAACAAGTCAGAGAAAAGGACGCCGGCGACGATGACTTTTACTCTTCATATACCAGCGATGATCGCTCGTCCCGAGGTTTTTCCGAGGATTTCGGTCATGCCTCATTCAATGCCTGACGTCGATCATATATCTCCTCGTTCATCCCATCCGTCCATCCATCTGCTTCATTTCACATAATTCTTCAACAAAATTGGATGCATGGCTTTGATATGATGAAGGTTAGTTCAATTATTGCCCAACAAATTTCAATTCAATTCAAGATATTTGGATTGCATTGCATGCTGGGAAAATGCCAATTTTTTAAATACTTTTTTTTTTTTTTTTTTTTTTAACTTTTTTACTTTTCTTTTTCGATGATAGTGTCGACGGGGGAATTCTACCATGCTGTGCGGCGTGACATTGTGTTACCAAAAATGAAAATAATAGGATAAATAATATGAAACAATGATATTTAATTTGTTCTTTATTATCTCAACTTATCAAGTTGAACTAATAGCTTTGTTGCCTTAATATTTTTAGATCTAGAGCAGCACGTCATACAGTATGGTAGAAATTTGATCCCGCAGAAAAAAATGATGTAATTTATTGTTAGTAACTACACCTTAAATTTTGTATAATGTTAGATATAAATTGAGTGAATTGAAATTGCAGTTTTAATTTGCTATTCATATGTAGACCATCTTTGTTTGTTTTAATTTTGTTCACATGCAACGATGAAAAATTTGTTCCGCAATGATTTGAAGAGTATATATATAATTATAAAAAAAAAAAAAAAGTTAGTTCTTTAATTTGGTACTAATTATAATTTTTGTCAAATTAAAGTGATGTGATAAATTAGAAGCTAGCTTGATCTGACAAAAGTGTTTTATAAGCAACAACCATTCCATATATAGATTAGAGATCTAAGCATTATATAATATTGGGGACATAGCAACAAATGTCTAGATTTTACATGAATGAGATAAAAATGTGTTGATTCAAAACCCTAGACAAAAATGTGTAAAGTACTAATGTCATTACTTTCTTTTCAAAATCCTATTTGAAAAGAAGGTAATTGGACTATCTTCTTCTTCTTCTTTTTTTTTTTTTTTTGCTTTGGCCGAAAATGCCACAAGCTTTTCACATTCTTTTTTTAGAAGTTTTTTTTTACTATTTTGCCATTGCTTCTTTTTATAATTCCAAATGTATCATTTATTTGTTTTGTATGTAATTTTTTATTTTGTTAAATACTTATATTTAAAGTTTGTATTATTAAATATAAATTATACCATATTAAATATCTCATTGAGACGATCGAAAAAAACTAATATTGAATATATATTAATTAAAATTTCAAATACATCAAACATAACTAGAACATAATAAAAATTAAAATACATACTACGTAGTCTTGATATTAGAAAATACAACACAATTTTCAAAAATATTGTGAAATTCATTTTAAAAAATAATTAATGTTATAAATAATTAATTAATGTTAATAAAAATTACTCCCGCCGTCAAAATTTGTTTTGTTTTCGATTAATTATTGGTTACTCAGTATTAGTTTTAATTCATAAATTTGCGGTCAAAATTTTTTCGTAATTTGATAAACTAATTATGAACGTTCAAAATTTCATCGATGAAATGATTTTAAATGGGTTATGAAAGCTAGATTGGTGGTGAGCATTCTTATCGAAAAAAAAAAAGACGAAATCGATAACCGATATCAAATGGATCGAATTTTTTTTTTTTTGTTTTCGATCAATTATCGTTACTCCGTATTAGTTTTAATTGATAAATTTTCGGTAAAAAATAAATAAATAAAATTACCAAAAAAAATTTGTTAAAAATAAATAAATAAATAAATAAATAAGCCTTCGTCCGAAAGAAAGCTTTTGTCTCCTGCTGCCGGGACAACCCTGTAAAGCAAAGAGACTTCGACTTGGCAATGAACAATATACAAGAGTTGTTTCTATAATATAAATAATATAAATTTTAAATATAATTATTTAACAAAATAAAAAAAAGATTACATATAATTGAGGTGAGAGAAGAAGGTATTCTTAATACCTTCTTCTCTTCCTTTTACGCTGGTCAGTTTTTCTAATTTTTTTTTTATTTTTTTTTTTTTTATTTTTTTTTTTTGGTTAAAGAAGGTAACCTGATTACCTTCTTCTCCTAAACCCTAATAAGAAGAAGGTAATCGGATTAGTACTTTACATATTTTAGTCCACCTTTTTCTTTCTACCTATTTTTGTCTCTTCCTTGTCAAATCTGCACAAAAAAGTCAACAACCCATATTGGATTGGAAGAAGAAAAACAAAAACACAAATCACAACATTACAAACAAACAACCAAATACTGAAATATATACTTTCAAAAAAAAAAAAATACTGAAATATATAATACTCCCTCCGTCCCATTTTATCTGTCTTACTTTCCTTTTTAGTTTGTCCCAAAATATTGTCATCTTTCCAAAATTGAACATAACTATCACTCTACATTTCTCAATTTACCCTTTTGACTTTTCAAATTTCTAGAGGTAAGTACAATTGTACTTTGTACAAATAACACCTACTTTTGAGGGACAAAATTAGAAATTAAAGTTAATAACATTTATTATGTTGTATTAAAAACCGTGCAAAAAGCAAATGAGACAATCAATTAGGGAAGGAGGGAGTAGTATATTCATCATCATCGTCATCATCATCACCAAGCAATGCATGCATGGATCATGGATGGAAATGGTATCTTAACCGTCGAAGTTGGTGGGATATGAGCTAGGAATCAATAAAATAGCCACTGCCGTAGGGTGAAGAGGAGGAAGCGGATCCACCGGTGTTGTTCATTGGTCCGGGAGAAAACTCCGGCACCGAAAAACCCTGCTGCACCGCGTAGCTGTTAAACGGTACGTGGTGGATGGGCGGCGGTAGGGGGTGGGTGGCTGCGCGGTCGTACTCCTGCTGCTCACAGTAGCTTATTATGAAGTCGGTGAGCACCTCGGCATAGTTTCGCAGGCCGGGGGCATTCATCGCCCAGAGGAGATCGTCGGCGATGACCGTCTTGCGTTGCTCCTGCCGGGAACGCTCGTTGGCCTTGGCGGTGACGTAGTGGATAAACTCCGTCACGCATTTTTGGACCGTCTCCTTGGCATCGTCGGCGATCCGCATGTTTCCATGGATGGCCCTGCCCATGATTTTGAGGATGATCGACAAAGGGATGTCGTTTTGCGGCGCACGCCTCCGTTGCTGAGTGAGCGCCACCGTGTTGGCATTGGTTTCACCTGCGGGCATTATTTTCAATAACATTAAATTTAACAAACTAAAAATTATAAACTATATATGTTGAATAATTATATATATTGCATGACGAAATGAAAAAATCATACTGGAGTTGCTCATTCTAGCTTCTAAGGAGATGTATGCTAATTAGTAAAGAATTGAAACTTAGTGACATCCATACATATATATATATATATATATATATATATATATATATATATATATATATATATATATATATATATATATATCACTACAAAAAAACGCTGAAATAGCGACGGATCTAGCGACGGACGCATTCCGTAGCTAATTTAACGACGAAATAGCGACTATTTAGTGACCGAATTTAGTTTTCTTGTTAAATAGGATATTAGCGACGGATTAGCGACGGAATAGCGACGGCTATTACGACGGATCAGTGTTGTCGTTAAATTCGTAGCTATTATTAGCGGGAATTTTTGGCGCAAAACTTAGTGACGGATTAGCGACGGATTTTTCGCAGGTTAATTTCGAAATTGTTCTAGCTACATACTAGCGACCGACTTAAACATCTGTCGCTATTCTTTAAGGTTCATGTATTCGTGATTCAAGTCTAGCGACGGATATGAGTATCCGTCGCTAGAATTAGTACGGGCTTTAGACTACATAGCGACGGAAATATGGATCCGTAGCTATCTAACGACGGACGGTGAAATCCGTCGCCACGATGACTAAAAGGCTTCGTTCGTATAGGTTCAATAGCGACGGATTTATCAGTCCGTCGCTAAGTTGTCCACAAGGTGATTTCTTATAAGTTCAATAGCGACGAACTATTATATCCGTCGTTAATGTTAGTAACAAAACTTTCTATTAAATGTTTCATAGCGACGGAATCGCTATCCGTCGCTAGGAACAAGAATGCTAAATTAATTAATATCGCAGCTCTTACTTTTAATAAAATATAACGACGGAATTTTAATCTGTAGCTAGAGTTCATAAAGCACAACTAATTAATTACTCAGCCCTAAGTCCTAAGGGTTTTGGAATAGTGCAGCCTTATTCTTCTCTCTCTCATATCGCATCCCTCTGACCAGCCATAGCCCACGGCGTCTCTGCTCTCCGACGAAGGCTCCACGGCATCTCTGCTCTCCGACGAAGGCTCCACGGCATCTCTGCTCTCCGACGAATGCTCCACGGCGAATCTGCGAAGGCTTCTCTCTCCGGCTCCACGGCGTCTCTGCTCTCCGATGAAGGCTCCACGACGTCTCTGCTCTCCGACGAAGGCTCCACGGCGAATCTGCGAAGGCTCTCGAACTGCAAAGGTAATTTATACATTTATACATCTCTCCACGGCGTTATTGATTACTTCTCCAATTCCTCGTCTGCTCTCCAAACACAGTGTTTGATTAATTCTGGAGTCATTGCCCTTCTTTACATAAATAGATACATAAATGGAGTATCACATTCTCACACTGCCATTCAGGTTTCTGCAATGTAGTGTTTGTCAAAGTTTTATGCAAATATTTAATACTTGTTTGTCAAAGTTTAGTGTTAAAATTAAACTCTAGGCAGTGTAGTATATAAATTAAACTCTAGGCAGTGTCCTATTTAATACACGTGAGCTTTTTCCTTTGTTTTGGAAAATAAATAAACTCTAGGCAGTGACTAAGAGCTTTTTGTTACAAATTGGTGTAATTTGATCAGTTGGTGTAATTTACTAATCAGAGTGCCAAATTGGTGTAATTTGATTTACTAATATTTACTAATCACACATGATTATATGGAGGAGGGGAATAAGTTTATGTTTTCCAGTTGCATAAATCAAGAAAGACAACATAAGATGAATGACTGTGTGTTGGGAATTTAGAATGGTCAAAGGTCAAAGTTCAAATGGTTGGGAGAAGAAGTACTGTACAGATATAAGAGATGAATAGGTTCTTGCTAGTACTCATGACAGTACAGAACTTGTGTTCTTGCTCCTCTTTTTTAACTTCAAATTCAAAATTTGAAGTCTTGCTGTTTTGCTTGCAACACTCCATTGTTTTGTTTTGTTTTTTTTTTCTTTGGGTGTGAAAATGTAATATTTGGTGTGCATACATTTTATGACAACCTAGTGTGTTAATGTTGTATTATTTGATTAATTCTTTAAGCCTAGTCTTATAAATCAAACAATAATTTATAAGGCATGAGATGGATTGAACTGATGGGTTTTATTATGGAGAAGTGTTCTGCATATAATAAAATATGGTAATGTATGGTAGTCATGCTTGGGAGAACTGCTGCTGCATTTTTATTAAAACTAATGAATATAGTTTTATTAAAACTAATGACTTAATTAATATATCAAACAACTTAGCTTGTTATTAATGAATTGAAGAATTTGCCTCTCATCACACCAAGTTTTTTAACAGTTGGGAAAAATTAGTTGACTCATTTCCATAGACTTTAATATGTTTTGATCTATAAATAATCTATTGTAAACGTGTTGCCTACTAGGTATTGCGAGCGTGACAAATTTGAACTTACAAGGTCTTCAAGTTTTTCTTGGGTTGCTAAGGTTTGTTTTGAACTTAAAATTTTTTCTTTTGTTGTTTATTTGCCGGCTAAACCGCCTGTGGGTACCGGCACTTATGTTTTCTCCGGCTAAACCGTCTGTGGGTACCGGAGGCTTATGAAAATATGCATGATTGTTTATTTCAATCTCTTTATTTGCCGGCTAAACCGCCTGTGGGTATTGGCACTTGTGTTTTCTCCGGCTAAACCGCCTGTGGGTACCGGCACTTGTGCTTTGAGCATATGCACAAAAAGAAGGATGGTACATTCGTTGATGAGAGGTCAAAGAAAATTGCTGTAAGTATAACCTAATAACCGTATATTGTTAAATAGACACAAGTCTTATATGCCTTTATATAGTTCTCTTATTTGGGATATGTTTTTAATTGTAGGACGAAATACAAGCACGGCGTGATGCTGCAATCCTAGAGGCGGAAGGGTCAAATGAGCCACCAGTTATAAACATGTCACAGCTGTATGTGGATGTTGTTGGTGGGGTAAAAAAACAGCGTATTTATGGCTTAGGGACTAAGTCATCTGCATTTGCATTTATCACTGAGAATAACTGTAGTTCATCATCTGCTACTTCACAACTTCAACAATAGGCAATGAAGGAGATGGTGAATCAACAGTTAGAGACCACGCGAGTTGAGATGGAAGCTAAACTACAAGCTGAAAGAACTCAAATGCAAGCTCAGATTGCAAGTTTGATGGATAGTTGCGTCGCAACGGCATGCTATCCACTCCAAGTACTCAACCTCAACGTTCAGCTAATTCAAATGATGAAAACTTAGGAGATGATTAGATTATATGTTTATTATAATATTTGGTATTGGTTCTAATGATGTCACATTAGTACATTATATATTGCTATACTTATGTTATTGTTATTATATAATACGTTTTATAATTACATTATTCAAGTACTATATTATAGGTTTAATGCAAGTTTTTTATATTAATTAGCAGGTACATGAGTTTTATTAATTTTTAGAATTTAGCGACGGACAAATATGGTAGAAAGGTAACGAAATAGTGACTGAAATAATAAATTGTAGCTAAATGACATTCAATTCAAAATAATAATAATAAAAATAGCGATGATACGACGAAAGCTAGCGACGGACATTTCCGTCGCTATATTTAGCGACGGAACAATCTGTAGCTAGGTCGTGGAAAATCTCGTCGCAAATAGACATTAACGATGGATAATTAATAGTTTTAGCTACGGAAATGCCGTCGCAAATTCTAGCGACAGACTAGTCCGTCGTTATTTGGTCGCAAATTTTGACTCCGAATTCGTCGCCTGAAGAACTTTAGCGACGGAATATTTCCGCGTTGCGACGGACATTTCCGTCGCTAGTTATAGCGACGGAATAAATTTTGGTCGCTAAATTCTAGCGACGGGGTTTTTTGTGTCGGACGAATTCCGTCGCTAACCACTTTAGCGACGGATTTTCACTATTTAGCGACGGAATTTGTCTGTCGCTATTTCGGTGTTTTTTTGTAGTATATATATATATATATATATATATATATATATATATATATATATATATATATATATATATATATATATATATTAAGGATCAAATGAGTACTCATCCTTAGGTGAGGACGTGAGGATTAATCTTAGCCATGAACTTTGTTTAGATGTGTGGATGTGATTTTATTTTTTTTTCTTTCCTTTTTGCATGGTAGGGATTTTTTAGTAAATGAGTTTATTTATCTTTCTTAGTTTTAATTAGATTAGTTTTATTATGCATGTTTTTAGGATGAATAATTAAGGTAATGTAGGATTCCTTTCATCATTTCCTTTCACAGTCTTTATCGTCTGGCGTCATTTTTCTTCTGAAGTTTCCCAAGCTTACCTTCATTCTTCGGTATTTTGTGGAGATTGGTTGTTGCTATGGAGTCAACATGTATGTCATTGTGTCTATCGTTATTCATTGTTTATATAATCAGTGTCGTGGTGTACTGTATTTGTGCTTTCCCGGCTCGTATGCAATTTTCATTTGTTTTCATCTTTTTTTTTTTAGCGTGTTAGCAAGTCTAGGTACTGTATAGTTTGTTTTTTTTTTATTTTTTTATTTTACTGGGTTGCTGTGTTGTTGTGTGGGCCGTTGTTGACTGTATTTGTGCATTTATGGAGTCTAGCTGAGTTTATTCGGCTCGTTTGCAGTTGTGATTTATTTTTTCCTTTTTTTTTTTTTTTTATTTATCATGTTACCAATTTTTGTAGTTGGTCGTGGGGTTGTGTGCGATCGGTGGTAGAAATACGTAAGATGGGTGTGTAGTTCACCTAAATTTAATGTGTTTTGAGGAACAAGTTATGCTCGTCTATGCAATGCAGTGGCAGTTTCGTGTGCATTTTAACTGGATAGGAATATCAAGTGACGTGAATTAATATGGAGTGATAACCCTACCCAAATTATATTCCACTCTAACACACTATATTCTAGCACTCAATTTCACAAACATGCAATACAATTTTGCACACATTCTATCAGAATAAATTCATAATCACAAAGAAATTAAACGTTGATGCTTACGAAGTCTACTTGTTGCCTCAATCGATGCACGCCGGTGACTTCTTCTTGGAGTTCCGTCCGCTATAGCTTCGTGCTTGCTAACCGGTGACTTCTTCTCCGATCGTCGCACTGTTCTCTTCTCTTTCTCTGTCGTGGATGTTGTTCCCGCTATGTTTATTGTGCATTGTTCTTCTCCGGTGTGTTTATTTTTATTTTTTAATATTTTTCGTCGCTTAATATCGCACCGACACAATGATAATTCACAACGTTGCACAAACCACTCCTAGAAACTTGTCCATACTTGCACATTGTACTACTTCACCGATGCACAAGTACTGAACCGTGAAAAACCATGAAGCAAAACTTTAATATTAATTAACAAGTGTTCGATGTTGTTAAAAATTAACGCATTCCCTTAAATTCGTACTTCCAATATACAATCCTCTCTAATGCACAATCCATCACACGTGTAATATGAAAAATAATAATCTTAATACATTCATTGCTTTTGCATTTTTGCACTTTGGTTAAACTCGCGGATGCACAACCTCTGTTTTGCATGTGGGAACGTACTTCTTATATTTTCACAGTTATTACACTTACAAATAAATAAACTCATTTAATATTCAAACAGAGATTACAACTTTAAGTTAATTTATCGTTTCAAACGTTGCGAATTCGTATTCGGAAGCATCGTTTGTTTGTGTGTTTTCTGCTCGTGTAGTTCGTACTAGCGGACTTATAAAATCATCATCTAGGCTCGAATTAATGGCATTCGATGCTGAATGTTGTGTTCTTTTTGCATTCTTGCCTGCAAAATGGAGTTAACTTCAATTACCCAAACCACTGCATGTTGGTTAAGACCACATATGCACATAAATGAGATGTACCATAGAAACTAGATGTATTCATTAATCTCCCTATTAAACTGCTACTGGACAGTATCTAATTTATGCTAAAACATCATCCTAAACCAACCAACTTCATTCCTCACCTCATTTTTCTCATTCCTTCATCACACATATTCAATTATGTAATCACTATTGATTATATGCATCGTATCTACTCTCTAACATATTCCCATTAAATCATCACCCAAACAAAAGATTCTGCACACAAACTGATCAAGGGAATGCGCATAGGTATCTGAATACATGCACTTGCACAAATACTACCTCTAGCCAACAAACCTTATTACTGCATACCATTCACCCTTCTAAACTCATCAAATGCACATTAAGTATTCCACAT